TCCTGCTAATGGTGAAGAACTTGAGGCATATGAGACTACAAACAGTAGCGCTAAGAAAGAACAACTTTGGACAGTATCTTCAAGTGTCTTAGTAACTGCAAAGAATGAGGGTTTAAAAAACAAAACCACAAAACCACATGTCAAAAATAACTTTTTTGATGACCAAAAGCCACCATGGTACAGAACATTATTTGTATAGATTAGAATAAGTTACACTGTGACTTAAACTACTTTAGAATAGGGGGTTTTGTTTGTCTGTTTGTTCGCTTTTCTTTTTTTTTTAAGGAGGAACATCTCCTACTTTGTATCTCTGCTAGCATAACTGATGGGGGATGTGGGGAGCAGATAGTAGATGGATAAGCAGCTGGAGGCCGTAGTGACAAATCAGATCTGCTGCTGACCAAGTCATGGCCCGAGTCTGGATTGCAAAGGGGTATAATAATGGAAATGCAGCTATTGTGGCGTTGAGGAAGACCTTAAAAACTATGTAATTCTCCAGGACTGTGCAGAATGTAGATTCCACATCAGAAGGGGATTACAGAAGCAAAACTGAGAGCTAAGCCATTCTCATTTTCTTGGGCCTCACGATCCCACTCACCTTGGAAGCATTCCAGCTCTGGGGTCTGTGAACCTGTGCTGCTGGACTCTTCCATCTCTTGTCTCCGCTGCTGCACTATTCCATCCAGATCAGAATAGTCTTCATTGAAATCCTGACGGGCAGAAAGAGTCACAAGAAGTCTCAGCCCTGTTCTAAATCTAAATAACCTTATTTCCTCTGACCTTCCTCTAGAAACTGAACCAACAATTACAGATTTAAAACTGTTTAACCAGGAACAATCTCTGATATCAAGATGTTGAGATCAAGTCAGCAAAGTATGACCACCAGAATTCAAGTCTCGTTCCCCTGCCTTCATTTAAGTGATTAAGTCTGTGTGCAAAAGAAAGCGACTGTTAAGTTAGACAAACTGAGAAATCCAGGACAGGCATTACTAGAATTAGACTCTGGTCATCACATGTGGCTATACAGCTCTTTCAGATGTCTGAATTGCCTCACAGAGGAAGAATTGCAACTAGAAACACTTCAAAAACTCTTCAGGGCAGGGGAAGAAGCTACTTTAAGTCAGTGCAGAGTGCTGTGAAACCTGACTGCTAAAGAGAGGTATGTAGAGCATACAGACCTTGGAATATATCCAAAGCATATGCATGTATATATACTGCATGTGAACAGATCAAATTACACCTATGCCAATCATTCCCACTGCTTCCTAATGTTAAAAAACTCATGAAAGTTTTAGAAACAGATATCATGATTTCCTTCAGTTTCCTTTCTTCAGACATTGTACTTGCAATGAAAGATGCCATGCCACAAAAGAACAAACATCTAAGCCACTTACCAAGGGCAGAGTTGTAGGACGATCAGCCCTGAAGCTGTTTTCTGCAGAAGAGGGATTTGAACTGTTACCCATGCTTGTATCCTGAAAAAAGCAGCGGTGTTAACAAGGAACATGCTCCGAAACTTCCTAGCATTTAAAAGCAGGAAAGCAGTAATAATGAACACAAAGCTACATACCATCTTCACTCCCATTAGTACTTACCTCAAGATGCCTACAGATAGATTTTAATAGCTTGTAGGTGGTATCTCTGGAGAGTAAGGAGACAAACATGTACTGAAAAACAAAAGTTGCAAAACTGTTTGAGAAAAGGCATACCGTACAAGCTTCCTTTTATCTAAATAAAACTGATACATGGTTTTGCTGATCAAGTGACTATTTTCAAGCACTTTCACATAGCAGGCAAAACCTCCATTCCTTCTAAGCCTATGACCTGAGGTTAATCACAAGGAACACAGAACAGGCACATGAAAGTTACCATGTTCTGCTACAGGAACCCAAGCATAGTCCAAATCTGTTCTTTCTTTTATAAAGACTTTGCATACTATGTTTTACTGACCCCTTTAAAAAAAAAAACAAAACAAAACCACAACTCATTTTTTGTATGGTCTCCTGCACCCACAAAATATTTGTGCAATGAAAATGGGCTGGTTCTAAAGCTGCTCTTAGGATAATCACATCTTCAACTTATTGATGCAACTACTATTCAGGATAATCACATCTTCAACTTATTGATGCAACTACTATTCCTGAGTATCACTGTAAGCAACTGTATTTTGTGCATCTATGGTACTTCTCGTCAGGTAAGAGACCCAAGTAAATGAAAAAATACTGTCAGAGCTGCCAACAAGGCAGTTAACCATCTGCGCGTGCACTTCCTGACCCACTGCTTCAGTTCCCCCCATGCTACTACACAGCAGTCCTGAGAACAGGGAATGACAGATTACAGAGAACAGGTGGCAACCAGAGATTCCATTTCTTATTTTCTCACCAAGTTCTACATAGCTTTGTTTACTGCTGACCCAAAGGAAAAAGATGGAGTTAGTAGGAAGAATAAAAATGGTCCTTGCCTGTCACAAGAGAGGAGGCAGAAGAAGCTAGAATCATCCCCTAAGAAGCCAGATCCTCCAAGGTCCTAAATCTAAATGGCCACATGCAACCAATTCCTATAGCTGTTTAAATGGCCACTGGGCACCTTCAAGAATCCCTCACATTACTGCCAACAAGTAGGGACAAAAAAAAAGTAGAAACAAATGAAAAAGAAAGCAGGCAGAGCGCAACAGCTTTGCCCTCTACCAGTACTTACCCTGTCTGTGACTGTTGCTATGATCAGAGCATTTGGCACAAGAAGGGCAGTTTTGGTTTTCTTCAAAAGTGTCACTGAGAGCACAGGTATGCTAATCTGAAACAAGATCAATGTAGTGTTAGAGTCCCAATACACACATACGAATCTGCATGCTCTTTCAAAGGAGCCAGCCTACCAACTGTGATAAGCCAGACCTTCAACACTCTTCACTTAAAGATATCTCCACTATGTCTCTGATTACTAATATTTCATATGAACAGGTATGGTTTCAGATTATTACTATTTCTTAAATATTTTTACTTCTATTTTTATCAGATGCCAATCCAGGCTTTTGTTTGTGTCTTCCTTTCCTGATCCCTTACGGCTCTTACAAGACGACAGGCTTAGCTCACTGTAGATCTGCACAACAAACCAGCCTTAAAGCTAGGCTTCTTTGTTTAGAAACAAAACATTTCAGAACACATCAGACAAGAGAGGGTTGTTGAAGAATGAACATAAAAGTCTTCTCACCACGTACAGATCCTTTAGTCTGCAACAAGTAGCTCAGTAAGCAGCTCATCCTTCAGTAACGTTGAAAGATCCAATACCCACACACCCACTGACTTACTTAAACTGATTCCTGTGTGTGCCATCCAGACTGTCTACATTTACATTGAGAAGTTCTCAATTTTCCTTCCTGCTTTGTGTTTACATCCAACCCCATTAGCTTAATGCCTGCTAAGTTTCAGAGTATTTCACTTCAGACATTCTGTATGTGCTCTTGTAAACCCAGTATTACAAAGGACCGAATACGTGGTTTGACTTTCAGTTGAAAAGCCTAGAGCTTAGTGAGTCAGGCAAATATAATAACCCTGGATACACATGATTAGTATACAGCTCCTGTTAAAAATTCCTTTGGCACACACTGTCACAACTACCTGAGAAATTTGGAAGCAAGATTAAAAGTGTCCAAGGATTGTTCAATGAGTGATCATAGCACTGAATTAAAAACACGTCAATGCAGAAGGAGAATGAAACTACTCTGTGCACAGTTTCATAAAACCTTGTTAACTTTTGTTCAGAACAGCAACACAAAGTCATGAAATGAAAAATTGTTTCAGGTAACAAAAAAATGTATCTGTGTACCTTAGTTCGGGTACATGATTGCCAGCCACTGTTTAAGCATGGCTAGTCAAGTATCTGCTTGTCATCTAAGCGGCTAGAAACTCACTCTTTAGTTGGTACTTAGTTTTGTTAAAAAAGTGTGCTAGCAGAAAAAACCCAAACCAACCCAACACAAAGCATATAATTTTAATTATTCTTAGTCCCAGGCCTGGGTCTAAGAATCTGTAAATCTGGTCATTATTTGTTCTATTGACTTTTTTAAACATGTCAGCTCTATTTGTCCTGCTTCAGAAGCCAGGTCTTTCGAAAACGGGTAATTAAACAGGTCCTCCACTATACCTTTTCTGCTTTAACTGGATATTGTATCGTTCCACAAAGTTTTGCAACACTTTTCAAAACAGCTTTTTTCTGGGAGCGGGGAGAAAGGAGCAGCTACGATGCGTGTTTGATGGGAAAAACCCAGAATGCTCAGGTAGTCAGAACAGAATCTGCATCACTTTTTTAAAAAAAACTCAAACAAATGACAAACCAAAACAAAACCAAACCAGAAGATTTTTCAGCAGAAATCCAGCTAACGGTAATGATAAAAAAGCAGCTTAGAAGTTTTCTGATTGGCTCAGTTCACCTCAAAGAACCTTAAATCAGAGATGTTAATGGCATTCTACTGCATGCTATTTTGATGGATAACATTACTGTAATCAAGACTAAAGTGTACTTAAGTGGGATTAAGCATTTGCTTACTGCACTGTTACCCCAGCATTAGATTATAATGGTAAAATCACTGCAAAGTACTTTATTTCTATCTGGAGTAATAATTATTTCAGGAAACAAAGTCTACCTGCAGGGAACTTGGAAAGCAACTAAAACGCATAAGATAATGCTTAGCTCTAGGAAAGACTCAAGGCCAATATATATAGCCAAAACAGAACTACCTGGACAGACAGTGGTGTCTTTCAAAGCCTATTCAATCCTGCAGAAGCAATCTTTTGTTTTTGAATATGCACAATGTTTACACTGCAGATTGAAATCTCCTGACTTGCATGGCTATTCCCCCCACCAAAGCTTTCAATAAAAAAAAAATAAAAATCTGCAGGTAGAAGAATTAACATTCAAAAATTTATTAGAATGTGTAGACCTGCTACTTCTCACAATAAAACACTTTATCACTAAGCTTAAACTGTTTTACAAGTTGTAAGCAATACAGGTTTTGTGTCTTGGAAACTTTGTCAGTGCATCTGACTGCTAAGAAGGTTCCTCCTCCTGTTAAGCTTGATTTCCTCCTCCTCCTCCCAATACGTTATTTTTCATTATATCCCTGATTTACCTGCTTTTTTGATGATGGTATTCCTAAAAGCTTGTGCCTGCTGTATGTGACTGAACAAAGCTTTAAGTGTGTGTTGCAGGGGTAGGGGAAGACAGCTGGAAATAAATGATCAGGCCTATCCCCTTCATTCTTCATTTTCCCTGCAATGTTTTCTGAAAACAATTACCCAGAATTGAATAATTTGGACTATCACTATAGCCACATTTACAAATACTGTCCATTCTACCCTATCTTGTAATATGTTTGCCCTTTTCATCGTATACATAAATATGTATATATTCCTGCATTTAAAACACTGTTGACAAAGGTAATTTCCTAGTATTACATCATTATCATTCTGCATTGGTTTTCCCAGGTCTTTCTCGTCTACTTGGTAGATTTCTACTAGATTTTTGTATACATTTATCTTAGCTTGAATTTAGAAAGCTGTCCCACAGTTTGAAGTAGTCACATTTATTCATGATGAACAGGAGACTGATAGTACAGCAGCTTCAATTTTAATGAAACTAACTGCCAAGATAGCTGTTATTAATTATGAATGATAGTACCCAATCATTTGTTAATTTTGATTTCCTTGTTTGTGCCACATGGCTTTCACCGACATACACACCATCCACATTAATGTACTGCCTATGACTAATAAAATCCATTAACTAGATTAACTAGGAATCAACAATAACAGTTCCTTGGGCCAAGCAGTAAAACACAATAACCCATAAGGTCACTATGAACAATGTGTTGTTAATAATTTTAAGCATTTTTAAAATCTATTCCACCTTCTTAAAAGCCATTTCGAAGATAGATGGTGTTCTATCAAAATGGGTGACAGCAGAGAAATGAGATACTGCCACCTCCTAAACTGGTTTCAGCACCCAATTCACTGACAAAAGGTCTGGATCTAACCAGGAACTTTGTTTAAGAAAGTACTCAAGAAAGAAGCCAAAGAAATACTCGCAGCAAATTGAGCTGTTTTCCAATAAAAGCTCAAAAACAAAGCAGAGTTTATGTAAACAAAGAAAACCACTCCAAAAGCTCTGAATCAACAGAACCAGAAGACAATTCTTTTTGGAAAGGCTTTATTTTTATCTTTTTTTTTTCATGACAGGGGGCCCAAGCCTTAGGTGGGTCATATCTGCACGAAGGAAGAATAAATGATGATCTTGTAAATTAGGATCTTCCTGATGTTGCATTTTTGCTCTTCATACTAGGCTCACAAGTAAAAACCTAGCAAACTGTTTTTTCTTTCCCTGTTCTCTGTTTACGCAGAACAGAAGGAGTGCTAGAAGACCTCTGCCACTCAACTCAGAAGCCATTTTTAGTTCTTCCTCTTTAATTGTCTTAATATGCTTGATCCTTCCCTCCAGTTCCCCAGCTACAGTCTTCCTTTCAGCCTTCCCTTCTCCTCCTTTCTTCCATACTAACCCCAAGAGAGACATTTTTGTACAGTGTGTGCTACATGGGCTTGGCAATGCCCTCACCGTTGCATGTCAGATCCTTTCCTTTCATCTATTTTTTTCACACAGGAAGTCCTTAAGAGAGAGACTAGATCTGTAATAATAATAGTGTTCCAGTTCTAGAGTGACTTTCAGGCATCGCTTCTGAACAGTGATTGTATTCAGTAATACTTAGAAGTATTAGTACTCTAGCCTTGCATAATACTGTGAACTTCTGGTGATGAATAAACTGTTAAGGAATAGCGTTACTGTTCTATATGTAAAGATTTTACTAACCTTAGTGTCTTTACCAAAAACCTTGGAATGGAAGCAAATCCAGTTTTCAGAAAGGAATAACTTTCCTTGGTACAGAATTTCTTTCTGCAGAGCACAGGTAAAACCTGAAACAAATAGATACTCTATAATCTTTAATGTAACCACAATGCAAGCCAACTATTACCAGTTTGGCTTTTGTTTTGCTCTCTTTTCAAAGCCATAATATGTTTAGGTTTATACCTTTTGATAAACATTCTCAAACCTTGAACTATTCAATAAGTTTAACTAATACTGACAAGCTCAGAAGATTTCCCAGGCCTAAGTTTAGACTCAAAATATATGAAGGACAAAGACTGAAATAAATAGTAACACGCAACTGGCTCCCAGAAGCCAAGAATCCTTTCTGAGAGAGTACCACCTAGCTTCCTATAAACTTTTTGACTAGCTTTCAGGTGACTATATTACGTAAATGTAAGGAGGTTAATGAAAGGTTTCAGCTTTAAACTTTTAGCCCTATAGCAGCTGTCCGGACTAGACGACCAACAGAGGTACAACATACGTAAAATAATACTGCTTTTACTTCACAGCCACTGAGCAAACCATTTCCCACTCATGAACTGCTTTCCTTGTATTCTTTTCAAGAAACATTTGTTATAAGTATCTATGCAGAATTCACTTGTAATTACCGCAGAAAACAGCAGAATCTTTAAACATTTTAAGTCCTTCTCCTACCAGTGTTTTTAAATCTTAAAGCATCATCAACAGCAAAAGCTCAAGCTAGTCGCTTGACCAGTGCTGTCTCAATTAAGTAGTGCCTTTAGTAAGGTAGCTTCAGTAGCAAAAAAATGTTGCACTAGGTTACTCTGCTAAGAAGTGCAAAGCAGGCTACAATTCCCAAAGATGCCCAACATTTGAAGAGTCAAATTTTGCAAGATTACAACAAAAACACCCACTGCATGCAGATGAAGGCCTTGTAGCTCTAGGCAGCTGGAGTTCAAGGTTTTTAAAATTTAAGTAGCCCCTCTTGTACATCAGCACAGTTGGTGGGTAACAACATTATCTTAGACCCACAGCCAGCAATGACAAGTGGGTTAATACTTACTTTGTTTCAGTGGCTCATCAATGGGAACATCTAGAAACAGCTTATGAAAGTGTGCATTTGCCTTCAGCTAAAAAACAAAAAGCCCCACACCCAGAGACACATACCTTATTAGAGATTCTTACAAACAAGTGACCCATTCCACTTCCTGTCCTCCCAATACCTTCTCATTTTGCCCACTTGTTTTACAATAAATCCTCATTTTTGCTATGTGGCTATTAAGTCTGTATCCTGCTTTACGCAGACTCTAACACACAGATGAAAAAGGAATCTATGTCCTTATACAACCATGAACTACAATATTGCTAACGATGGGGGCTCTCATGGTAGTAATGTATTTACTCATTACATACAAACAAACAAGTCCTTCCTCTGCCTTACCTGATTCGAGGCATGTTTTTTCCTTTCAATCTTGGAGTCACTCTTGATATCCACTGTCAGGAGTGGACTATCTGTGCTGCTCTTTGTCCTGAAGATTAAACAAGATATCCCATATAAGCTTGGCCTCAGTTCATTAGTCTTGGTAAGTTATCAACAGGACATGCTTTTCCATGAAACATATTAATCCTTTAATAACTATTATCTGATTCATCAAGGATTATGCAGCAATAAAGAGGAGCACATCTTATTCTTAAACCATTCCAGCCCTCACTGAACTTAGTAGCCGAGAGTGCAGGGTAGTGTACCGAAAGCTATGAACTTGTACTACAAAATGTGAGATCATTTGCAAAGTGCAACAGAGAGGAAACATAGGTGCACAAGTCAGAGGATGGCTATGAACTGTGTAGTGTAGTGTAGTGTGGTGTAGTGAAATCGTTAAGATAGACAGCAATCCTCGAGGAGATGAAAGGGAATTGTGAGTGCCAGTTGCATAGCAAGCTGCACCTGTACAGCTCTAGCCATTCATACTGGAAAAAGAAAACCAACCAAAAACCCAATAACTCTAGAGCAGAACAAGTACAGAGGAAAGTCTCTGCGGATGGCTGGGAAAATAAGTTCTGTTTGTTTTATAGAGGAGAAATTAATGGCATGGACTGTTCAGAAAAACAAAAACAGAGGTGGGATAAGTGTTTCATAAATCAGGAAGAGAAGAACATTATCCCTGAGAGCTGTTTAGCACAGAACAAAACCATATCAACAGGCTATAAAAATAAGGTAGCTCTTTTTTAGAGGCCTTCAGATGCAGACTGAAGAACAGAGGGAAAAACACAACACAGGACTCCTATATTAAATGTCCTGAAGAACATGTTGTGCTAAAGATTCAATGGGGAAAGAAAGGTGTTACAAAACGTTCCATTACTGCACCTTATCCTGCACAATAAGTCATCTTTACTTTCCTAAACCTGAGAGGTTCAGGATTTCCAGTAAAAACTGTAAGAGTGAGGGGATGAGAACCCCCAGATGTAATGGAGATATAGCTGGATTTAGGAAAGAGATTGTACAGCAGAACTGATTTAGATAGCAGGGGGGCTGGCTGCATATCTTAGGTGGTCCCTCACAAAAGAAAACTCTAAAATACATGTGTTTGTGTATTTGTGTGCCCACGTAAAGTACAGGTCAAACTGAAATGAATAGTGAGCCTTACAAAAAACTTATGCCAACCCCTCACCAGCACACAGTCAATTACATGGTATGTGAGAGGTGAGACTGGAAGGAAAGTTTACCAAAAAAAAATTATTATTATTTAGCTTTTTTTTACAAGAGTTTCAAATGCATTCGTTCCTGTTCTCCAACAAAGGAAGAATGACTGTTTTTGCAGAGACATTACAATAATCTGATGCAATATACAGCACAGAGTCCAAAATTAAAACTTTTGTCATAGCTTTACCACGGACAATCAATATTCCAGCACAAAAGTGTTCTGGGAACAGCCCAGGACTCAAACTGCAGCTCATTTGACTGCCTGTCAAATTGACTGTGAAAGGGATGTAACTAGCAGTGGCACCAAACAGGGCAATGTATTTTTCCTAGAACAGGGAAGCTAAGCCGGTCCCAAAGTCTAAATTCTCATTATTGTGACTGCTTGTGGTGGGTAACAGAGCAACCCCTGGAAGGTGGCTCTGATTCCTGTTTCCTTGCGTAGTGTGCAAGCTAACCCACAACTGGTATGTCTGATAAAACTTGCTACTCAGTGTAGCTTCTTGAATAGGTTGTAACCATTCTGATTATCTGACTAGAAGAAAACTGACAGCATTTCTGACATTACCTAGCAGTATCAGCTTTTTTCCGGTCATCAAAATATTCCATTTCACTTGTAGGGGTCTGCAGCAACACAGTAGGTGATTTTCCTGCCTTTCTTTTTTCATCTGTTCCATTTTCTCCATCTGAACTGCAGAGGGAAAAAAAAAATAAAAAAAGAGATAGAAATGTGTATTGCAGGATTCATACCAATGTCAAATGCCACTGCAACATGTTGACAATACAGCACATATTAAAGAATAAAATTATGACATATCTTTTATATTAAGGTCCTGAAAAGTCCTCATCTACTGACTTTACAGTATTATACATCTGAACACTATTCTGAGCTCCAGTATTGGAATTTCAGTAATGAAAAGAGGAAAATTGAAATACTGCCGTGGATATTTCAGTGCTCATAAAATTTGTAGCTCTAGCTTCCGTTCCAAAGAGAATGTCTCGTTTAGGAAAAATGCATTCCATATTCAGTACTCAGACCGTGTGACTAATGGAAATTAATTTGATTGGCAAGTTGGGAGACAAACATCCTGCATGACAGTACCTAGTGCTTAGCAGATTCTTTGTGGCTCAATATTGCAAGAGGAAGCTGGGTCCTATTTTGCCTCTCACTTACCTCTTCTGTGAAAGTCCACCTGCAGGATTTTCACGATAAAGGGTCCTCTCAAAGTATCAAAAGTGCTGGTTTTATTTTACAAAAGCAGCACTGCCACCACAGTGCATTGCCCTTTCACAGCACATGCCACTGCATCAGAAATATATGTTAAGGAAGTAGAGCCTGAGAGCTAAGAGATGTGCCATCGGAGCCTTTCCCTGGTTTCCCTTTTCATAATTTTCTAATAAAATGTTAACTCAGAAGATTTAGAGAAAAGAGCTGTCATTAACAGCAGGGTCTGAAGAATGACAATACTTTAAAATAAGACATGATAAATATATACAAACACCCTCCTTCGGAAGACTAAAGACTGAGAAAGACTACAGGATGCTCTTAGCATTAAAGAAGAAAGAGAAATTATGTTGCCTGTTAATTTAATGCCTGGCCTGAATGACCCCATTTACAGAAGCTTTCCATTATAATGTTTTATTTCTGCAATTTTATGGCAACAACATAGCCGCTGCCGTCATGTGAGGTTGTCTTGACAATAAACAGTTTCTTCTACTAAGACAAAAGTTTTGCTGACAGAGGTCCCCAGACTAATTTAATCTCCATTTTCTTTTAGGAAGGGCATAAAAAGATCCATTGCTTTGATTACACTTTGGTGAATAAGATCAGAAGATACACCTCACAACATCTTAATCGAGATCTAATGAGGTGGTATCTTACTTTGCAGCTAAACTAGAGCTTATGTCACAGGACAAAAGCCATGAAGTTTGCCTTACTGGTGCAGGGACTTGTTCTCAAGGGGTCTTATATTTACATACCGCAACTATTCCCCTATCAAATCCTTCCCCAACCCTTACCACTCCCCACCACAGGGGTACCGAACTGACACTTCCTAAGTCACACTTAGTGTATACTTGAAAGGGTTACAGCACTAATAAAGTCAATGAGGAAAAAAACAATTGTTTCCCCATTGCTTCACTGTTGGATCAGCCCTGCCTCACCACTAGGCACCAGCTTTTATTTTTGGCCAATATAAACTAGAATTAAATGGGCAATTCAAAAGATTTAAGTGGAACCCAATCTTTTGCCTGAAAAACCCAAATAAGCAGTTTTATGCTGTTTGAGATTTTAAGCAGAGAGAACTGCTAACCCAAGGTGCTCCCTGCAAGCATAGGGGAGCTTGTATTCCACAAGTCTGCAAATCCTGCAAATGTCTTAGTCACATTCCTATCTGTTATTTTTCTGTTACCCAAATTCTTGGGCTTCAAGGGAGGCCAGAGAATAGCAGACATGAATGGGATGAGGAACAGAGTGAGGCAAAATTGTCAGGTTCAATCACACCTGCATGTCAAAAGAACAGCGCAGCATGGAAACTCCCAAGTGAATAAGACTACATAACACAGCAGCATTTTAAAGATGCAGTTGCTTGAGCCTGGAGCTCGACTGGTGTCCATCATTGCCTTGGGCAGCCTCCTTTTCTTACATGGCAATGCTATTGACTGATATAAAGCAGCCTGTATCACACCCACGCTTCTGTACTACAAGTTTGTTTCAAAAATACTTATAACACAGGTTTTAGTGTTCACTTACACCTGCCAGCATGGTTAGGTGCTTTGTTGCTCTTAAACGCTTTATTTAGTTACCACTCTTATTCCCTTTTCCCTCACCCATAAATTAATCCCTACTTTACAGTTAAACATATGAACTTGTTCTATCCTGTTTGTCTTCCCTATTAACCACTACTATTCCTGAACTGCTACTGTCTGAAGTCATTCCAAGTCATTCCCTAGCTGCTTTCAGACAGTGGAGAGCTACAGCATCTCAACACGTTAAACCTGCTGACTGCTGCGTGTGGAAATGCTGAGTTGTCTCATGCCAGTCTGGCCACCTCTCCGGGATCGTCTTCTGCAGCTGAGAACAGGGAGAATGTACCCAAACACAGCAAAAGTTTCCCCCAAAACATGTCAGCCATGAGGAGACTCACCCATGTAACACATGCCACTGACAGTAGCAATTGGGTGTATTCTTACTAGCTGATGTGGTCTTGCTACGTCTATCCTTTACCCTACCTCCCATATGCCCCCTTCACATAATAAAAAACTACATAAGGATTTGTCCTTACGCTTCTGAAAACTATAGCTCCACACAGCAGCTAAGTTCCTAGTAGGTGTCTTTAAAGTATCAGAAGAATCTTAGCTGACCTTCTGGAGAAGGAAATATCACAGGTATGACCTAAAACCAGTACAATATTGTTCATCAAGTCACAAGCAAATTAAAGCACTCCTGACATTTTCATGTGTGAGTAAGGAGTCGTAAATGCTTTGTAAAAAGAGCACGAAAGTCAACAAACCATGAAAAAAAAATTAGATCAAGTGCACTTAAGAAACAAAGTGATGCTCACTACAACTGTTAGCAACAGTTGCATATAAGTGCACTGTATTTGCAAATATCAGGGCAAAGCACGTAAACTTTGTGACATCAGGACTTTGCTGATATGAAAATAAACATTTTTCAAATACACACAATATATCATGTATTTGGTACTACTACCAAACCTATTTAAAATATCAGCTAAAAGAAAGAAAGAAAGAAGTTGTCTACTAGTGCTTGAAAGGACACCCTTCTAAGCATGCCGCAGGCCAGAGGCCTCCTCCTCAGCACAGACTTTCCTTGACCTATCACACCCTGAGGGAGCAATCACCTCAGCCTTCCTTTTGCTAGGCCTAATATCTTAAGTCCTAAATCTTCTTTCAGAAGGTATGTCCCATCATTCCACTAAACATCTTTTCTATGCCACACCAGTCTGAACAAACCTTTTTTGGATGTGTAATCAGAATCCGGAGTGCTTTATCTGAGAAGCTTGCTTTCATACCTTACGCAGTTGAATTATTTCACCCTTGGACTTTAGAAAACACCTTTTCCATTGTAAACTCTCTTGCTGTCCTCTTCATAGCATATTAGAGTGGTCTCTGTACTAGATAAACTAACAACAGTGCTCAAGTCGAGGATTTAGATGTTGTGTGTTTCTACAAAGTCTGGTCACTCAGAGACAAGATGCCTCCAGTAGCTCTACAGCCATGCTTCAGTGTTATGTGGCACACAGCACTGTTTACGGGTGAAAAATACATCTCCTAAAAGGACATGCCTCAGAATAACGCTATGACCAAGTATCACTTTTACTGTGCAAATGGAAAGCCAAATATCAACTATCATCAAGAGTCCAAAACTACCAAAACAGACAGAAAATGAGTTACAGCTGCCCTAATCACAAAGGAGCAGAGAGATGCTTAATAGCTGCTATAATAGATGTTAAGGATAGCCATAATGTATGCATTTGGTATTTGTATAATTCCATATACTTAGTGCACAGCCTGTACTTAAGGCTGAAAAGTGGAGGAGCTGATTCTGAGGTATGGCATTTCTTATGTAATTTGTATGACAGATATACAGCTAGCAGATGTATTTATACCAAATATGGAGAGCTGCAAAGCATTAATGAAGGAGCAGAGATGTGAAACCCTGCATAAGGGAAAGGGTCAGTTTGTTAATATGAATACATATGAACCAGACTGAGATTTAACTACCTCAGGTTGTTCAAGGAGCAGGCTAATTCTCTTCTCATGATATCACAGTCAAACGCGGCATAATGGAGGCAAAGTTATACAGGTGCACATTAACTGAATATCATATGCGTATGGATGCGCACACATGCATATACACCAGGCGCTTCTCTATGCATTTCTAGGATGAAACAGGTCTGCAGGCAAGGTGGAATCTCGATGTCAGCTAGCAGTGAAAGAGCAACCAACCCAACTGTAAAGACTTGTTAATTATGAATCTTATTTTATGTATCAAGGTAATTAATTTCAGAAATATTTACTGTGTTCTATTTCACAGCTATATCTTGGAACACAATTACTCATTTTGTATATCTGTGTTGCTATACCTTTATTAAAAGGATGAATGGAATTTTTTAGTTAATACTGAACAGAAACCTCTCCAACACTGTTAAGGACAGAGTAAGTCAGGTTTTTTCCTCAACTGAATAGACATTTCACTTAATAACCAGATCAAGTTTCACACTACCTTACCACTTGGACATCATCAAGATCACTGTGACACCACAGACGTCATTAGCAAGTATGTAAATTCTCTGCTTTAAATACCATCTATTATTAACTGGCTGTATTCCCTGTCTAATCAAAACCAGACTGCTATCAAGTTCCAGAGAAAAAAAAAAAAAAAAAAAACCACAAAAAATTAAAAAGACGATATGCCAATGACATGGCAGTTTGTGACATCCCATGCTTCTTCAGGAATAAATTTAATGTGGTTACTTTATTTTACAACCAAATAGGGGACTGGTCTGTTTAAATAACACAGCTAGGAATTTTACCTTCTTTGACACAATGTGAATTTCAGGCTCTGATGGCTAATATTGGGATTACACGGTTATTAAGTTCCAAAAAAAAAAAAAAAAAAAAACAAACCACAGAAGAATTCCCTGTGCTCTGAAACATGAGACACTA